GGAGGGAAGAGTCACCACCATGATGCCTCCAGTAGGGGCACCACAGCATAGTGAGCCTCTCCAGACTGACTGAGCCAGGCTGTGGATGTGAAGGACTTCCTGTCAGTCCCGCTGAGCTGGGGATGATGGCGCTGTGGGCGGAGTCCTGAAGGCTCAGCTTCCCCACATCAGTGAACACAGATTGCATGTGGAGCTCCGTCACCAGCTCCTACACACACAAACACATGACGCACACACCAATGTAATTACACATTATAAGTGACATACAAAGTATGTTAGAGAGTCCGTTACTCACACTGCGGTACATGCGTGATGGATGGGGCAGCACAAGCCTGTGGACAGTCTGATTGGTGCAGACAAGGATGATGACATTGTTGAGCGTCTCCTGGATGGCGACGCCCCCTGGCAGCACTGTGCAGTGTATGAACTTGAGTCTGACGGCATTGTTGAGCAGGTTGGTGTCCAGAGACTGCTCCACCAGCTGTACCGTGTCTCCTGACGTGGACCTACACACACGCACACACACAGTGTCAGCTCCAAATAAGATTCATTATTAATAAAATTATTATTATACCCAGTTAACTTTAAGAGCCACATAAACACTGACATTCAGATAGTGTGTGTGTGTGTGTGTGTGTGTGTGTGTGTGTGTGTGTGTGTGTGTGGACCCTCACCAGTGAATGAATCTGTTGCTGGTGACAGACAGCAGCTTCCCACTCTCCTCATAGTGAAATGCTCCGGCGCTGTCCGGGAACTTCTGCCCCCCGGGGAGAGCAGCAACTTCTGCATGAACAGAGATCAGCTGAGTGTACACCAACAACGGGGATCATGTTGCCAATGAGACAGAAACATGAACCAAAAACATTTACCTAATTAACAAACATTGTGATTACTTGTTAGGACCGATCAAACAGCCAATCACAGCCCGCAGTTCAACACTAACCTGCTCACAGGACATTACAACACCTGCAGAGGAGCTCACAGTATACCGAAGTGTCTGCTCAAGGTATACCCATTACCCAGGTATATAAAGGTTACACCAACCGCATACCCAGGTATAGGTATACAAAGGTGTATGAAGGTATACACAAGCATAAACGTGTGTAAACAGGTATACACAGACATACCCAGTGTACAAGGTATAAACATGTATATAAGGTATACACAGGTATACAAATGATTCATACTATTAGTATTCTCTCGGTTACAGCCTCCACAACCTGCAGCTCACCTGACAGAGCTGTCAGTCAATCAGCAGAGAGTATTTCTTACATGACAAATTAATATGAGCAATAAATGGTCTTGATCTTTAGAAACCTGAAAACAGGAAGCTACAGGTAAACAACCCTAACTGTTAGCTTTCGGTTTGACAGAGGAACAACCGGCTAACCGAATCTAAAGACTGAACCTACCACCTGAGCAAAGGCAGCAGGTATATAACCGGAAACACGCCGCGTGCCATTATTTGACAGATCTTTCCCGGGCCCGGTACGTGACGCTACACGCTCACCTCACGCTGCTGTGTTAGCCTGCTAGCTGCAGATAGCATGCGCTGGCTCAAACCCTGCGTTATAACCCTGCGTCGTGACGTGTTTATGTGAAAATAGACGGAGGTGAGAGTCGGGAACATGCCGGGATCGTACCTAGGTTAACGGTGACTTCTCTGAAGCGCGGCAAAGTTTCCCTCTCAAAGCCGCAGATCTCTATGAAGCTGCGCTCCAACACCGCCGCCATCTTTCCTTCTTCCCCGTGGGAACCGTGACGTCAGAGGAGACTGACCGCGCGCTGTGCTTTCAAACATTTAAAGAGACAGGACACTCCAAATAACGACCCGTCAGAAAAAGCTGATTAAAGCTCCTTCTAAAAAAAATAAAAAAATAATTATAATCACACTCTCTGATACTCCTTGTAACTGCCTCTCATGTTTAGTTTTTGTTTGTCCAACCTTTAATTATTGTAGTTCTGTTCTGCAGTCATTGAGGCGGAACTAATTATTATTGATTGTTGGCATATAGCAGTTTTGCCAACGCACCTTGACAGAGGTGACACAGAATGAAGAGCGGAATTAAACTTAAGAAGTTAACGCACATATATAAACTTAAGGAGAGTAAAGAAGAAGAGTGGTCTGGGATTAGCCCCTCTTAGATAATAAGCCGCTTTATTGCTTTGTTTATGTATGTAAATTAGCGATGACACGCGGGAATTGTTATGCTAATTAGTTTATATGAAAGTGTGTTATCTACGTTGTCTAAATGTAAACTCTTTGATTTCCTTTCTCAATCTCAGTTCTCACGGGTTGGTCTGGAGGACTAAATAAACCTTGTATTTTAATCAAGACCTCGTGATTTGTGTTGTTATTTGAGGGAGCCACATTCCTCACTTTACATTCCGGCTCTTTCAGGCTGCTCTGTTATTTTAATACATTACATTCTTTGCGTAGGCTACGCAAACACAGGAACGAATTTAGTTTATTTACTTCGTCTATCTCCTTCATTGATATCTACTTTTAAAGGTCCAATCAGTGAGATGTGTAGTGAGTGAAATGATAAAGTGAGCTTACTATATGATCAGACATTAAGGAAACATGCTATGTTGAAGTGTTGGCTTCTCTGACAACAATGCAGCAGCCAGTATGTCCTCCTTCTAACTTTAGATTCTGGTCCTGAATGCTCTGGATTTGTTTGGACCAGAGAAGGTAGGTGGTTTTAAGGAACCCCCACATAGCCATTTTGGACGCCCTCTGTTTGTCAGATATGAGAGCAGTTAACATGTCAAACCAACAGGTGTTGCAGTGATGGAAGCGGGCAAGAGAACTGGTTCAGGTAGAAGTGATTGTACTCGACCTAAAAAGCCTCTGCATGTTTCTAATAAGCTCCACGAGCAAAAACGTGCTCAAACTAGAATCAATATTGGAGATGCTTTTGAAAAATGGAGAGAAGTTAGAACGCAGAAAGGTTTACAGACCGATGCAGAACTGGTTAAACACTGAAGCTTCAGTGTCCACCGCATGAGCATCAACTCTAGAGATGGGGGGGGGGGGGGGTGACATTGCCTAAACTAAAGTAAAAATGAAATACTAAATTAAGAACAAGAACAGAAATATAATATTAAAGTCACAGAGCTGACAGTTTAATATAAAGTGTAGAAACATCAACACAGTTTAACGTTTAAATACAAGTAAAAAATTTAACTTTGATCTCCCTCCACTGGCTCCCAGTTACTGCTCGTATCAAATTTAAAACTTCACCCGTTGAAACATTAAAACAAACAGTACTTTTCAGACTCAGAAATACAAAGATTTCCCATCGCAGGGGAAAATGAGCGAGGGATACATGACCATTCAAAAATACTATCAGGTTTCTAATGATACAAAGCTTAATGCAAATGGATTAAGTATCCCTTTAACTTATCCAGGTCTACTCTCCCTCCTGCCCACCAAGCTCTGCCAATGAAAGGCGTCTGATCCAACCTTCACAACAGGGTCCTAAGTCTCTGACTAGACTCTTCTCCTCTGTCGCCCCCCAGTGGTGGAACAAACTACCAAACTCCATTCGATCTGCAGAGTCCCTCTGCACCCTCTGTCTTTAGCTTGCACCAAAAAGCTAAAGACCCAGCTCTTTCATGAATACCGACTAACTTAATGACGATGGTCTTGATATTATTGATGATGATGATGGTAATTGTTAGGTGGGGGTTGTTTCTGTTTGTATAAATCCAATGAAGAAATCGTGAAACAGACTGGAGATTATAACACCATTTAATTGGCCGAGGTCAGACAACTTCATCAAACAAGCACGCTTCCAAATCACTGGACTGACAAAGTGCTGACAAAGTAACAGTGTTCACAGTGCTGCTTATATTCTGTCAAAAAGGCGCAACCCACAAATTCCCCTCCACTTGGGTGCATCACCATAAAACAATAAAGATGACATGACACTGATTTGTATACGTAACAACTGTAGACTCTCTGTCTAGCAAACAGTTGCTGACAACATATGCTTGGCTCCTATCCAAACATAGATCTGCTACTACTTAGGTGCTTCACTCATATAAGGTTACAGCTTCAGACACCTAAAGGTAGGAGTGCTAACAGGTGGTAGGCAGACTTGAATAATACATTTCACGAAGTTACCAAGATTAATGAATTTCATGAAAATTCGTACTAACAGTAATACTGATGGTTTTGTTGATAACGATGACTTATAAGATGGTTTCTATACTGATTAGAGCTCTCAAGAACTGCCGTCAATGTTGTGCTTTGCCTCTGGTCACTTCCTGTTAGCACCTGTGTGTCCAATCGGACTCAAAGCTGATTGCGTTTGTTCTGACTGACATTGTTCCTTTTTTTCTAGATCCTTGCTTGTGTTGTACTTACTCTCTGATGTACGTCGCTTTGGATAAAAGCGTCTGCTAAGTGAATTGTAGGATGTTTACAGGTGATCACAGATCACTTTTGAATATAAGAAATATATTGTATTTGTATATTGTATATATGCGCTCTCCTTCTCTCTGAGGGGTTCATTAACTTCTTACGAAACATTCAGCCCCCATATTTCCCCTCTATCCGGTGTCTGTGTGTGTGTGTGAATCAGATGAATAGGAGCTGTGTAGTCAGTGTTTTTCAACAATTCAACTCTTTGTCTCCTTCTCTTTGTCAATGTGTGTGTGTGTGTGTGTGTGTGTATGTATGTGTGAGTGAGTGTGTGTGTGTGTGAGAGTGTGTGTGTGTGTGTGTATGTGTGTGTATGTGTGAGTGAGTGTGTGTTTGTGAGAGTGTGTGTGTGTGTGTGTGTGTGTATGTGTGTGTATGTGAGTGAGTTTGTCTGTGTGAGTGAGTGTGTGTGTGTGAGTGTGTGTGTATGTGTGTGTGTAACAGTGTGTATGTGTGAGTGAGTGTGTTGTGTATTACCGTGATGTTCTGAAGAAGATATTTGGACAACAGGAAGTGTGTGTGTGTGTGTGTGTGTGTGTGTGTGTGTGTGTGTGTGTGTGTGTGTGTGTGCGCGTGTGTGTCTGTGTGCGCGCGCGTGTTGATGATGCTTTCACTGTTTCTAGGAACAGACCGTGATGTTCTGAAGAAGATATTTGGACAACAGGAAGTGTGTGTGTGTGTGTGTGTGTGTGTGTCTGTGTGTGTGTCTGTGTGTGTGTCTGTGTGTGTGTGTAAATGAAATCAGAGCGCTGGCTGATGGTGAAGCAGAGCCATTTAGAGGTGCGGTCGCAGCAACAGTATCAAAAGCGCCCAGAAATGTTAAAGAAAAAAACCCATCTCCGTTTCCGTAGCAACATTCACAAAGTGGGATGGTGCCTTTAGCAGGGTGTGGCCAACATGTAAAACAGGAGACTGTGGGGATCGGACCCTGCAGATATAAGACTCTGGATGAAGTCAAGTTAGAGCAGAGAGAAAGCGAGTGGCAGACCACTGAAGACAGACAGACAGACTGAGAGACTTAGAGACAGACGGACAGGTATCAGGACAGGTGAAACGGTTGAGGACAGACGGCTGAAGGATGTCATTGTTTGAGTTCTGGAGGAAGAGAAAGGAGCGAGGAGACATTCTGCAGAGGAGCAGAGAGAGAAGCCTCTCTCCATCACAGCTGTGAGTATGCTTGTGTGTGTAAGTAGTACGCTCCTGACTAGAAACACACGCGCGAGGGAGGGAGAGAGAGAGGGAGACTTTAGATGAGTGTGTGTGTGTGTGTGTGTGTGTGTGTGTGTGTGTATTATGGCGTGCGGAATGGTTCATCACATGCACGCCGCACATACACACGTACGTGTGATTATTTCATAAAAGTCCCACGCGTTATGTTGCGACCTAAAAATATTTGTATGCAATTCAATTTGACAGAAGAAAGCACACTACACTATAAGTTAGAAAGTACTGTATGTACCAGTAATATTATTTCACATTTGTTTAATTTGTTAATTAAAAAAACATACAGGTACTACAATTTCATGTTAGTTTACACAGAAATTAAAAAGCTGTTATGAACTCTTTTAATTTTAGGTTTTGATGACATCATCGGCCTGCTTGCAGTCGTGGTCAAAGGATGAATGCGCATGTATGCCGTTTTTGTTGTGAGGACCCGATGCTTCTTAAGAAAGATAATCTTAAAAAAAATACAGCACCGGGAAGAATAAAGTTGCCAAACGGAAGACAGAGTCCTGGTCTTTTCATGGGTGCAACACCTACACACGCACGTGCGTTGTCTAAGTACTACACGCAGCCTGACTTATAGACGCAGACACGTGTGATTTTTTTATCCGAGAGGGAGAAGGAGAGAGAGAGAAACTTTAGGTGTGTGTGTGTGTGTGTGTGTGTGTGTGTGTGTGTGTGTGTGTGTGTGTGTTCATGCTGAGCTTGGAAAGGGATACAGGGATACAAATAGATACATGCAGTAAGATGTACTGTAAATGCACAAAGAGAGAGAGATAGAGAGGACCTCAAGGTGCCAGTTAACCTATAGCTGCTGGAAGATGATTCCAAAGGAGAGAAGCCTGATAACTAAAGGCTCTACCTCCCATAGTACATTTAGAGACCGTAGGTACCACGAGCAGGCCTGATAACTGAAGACTCTACCTCACAGTACAATTAGAGGCCGTAGGTACCACGAGCAGGCCTGATAAGTGAAGGCTCAACCTCCCATAGTACATTTAGAGACCGTAGGTACCACAAGCAGGCCTGATAACTGAAGGCTCTACCTCCCATAGTACATTTAGAGACCGTAGGTACCACGACCAGGTCGCACTCTGGGAGCGTAATGTTCTTGAAG